TCAATCATATCTTTCGATGGATAATTCGTCGAACGAGGTTGAAGATATGATCACTGTGCTACAGTGGAACTGCCGTAGTCTAGTGCCTAAACTAGACTCGTTCAAACTTTTACTTCACAATTCTGATTGTGATATATTTGCTCTCTATGAAACATGGCTTTATTCCGATAAAGAACTCAACTTCCACGATTTTAACATTATACGCCTGGATAGAGACGATTCTTATGGAGGAGTACTTTTAGGGATCAAAAAGTGCTACCCTTTCTACAAAATTTCCCTTCCTGCTCTATCAGGCGTCGAAATCGTCGCTTGCCAAATAAATGTGAAGAACAAAGATCTTTGCATAGCTTCAGTATACGTTCCACCAAGAATCTCCATTAGCCGTAGTCAACTCTGGAATCTAGTTTCGATTCTTCCATCCCCAGTATTAATTCTGGGTGATATGAACTCCCATGGTACTGGGTGGGGCGATCTATATGATGACAATAGAGCGGCTATTTTTTACGATTTATGCGACGATTTCAACTTGACTATTTTGAACACTGGTGAAGCGACACGTATAGCAAAACCTCCGGCTCGAGAAAGCCGACTCGACCTATCTTTGTGTTCAAGATCGCTATCATTGGATTGTATGTGGAAGGTTATCAATGATCGCCATGGTAGCGATCATTTGCCAATCATCATTTCAATTAAGGGTGCCCCTCACTCTGCAGAACCATCTCGTGTTCCATTTGATCTTACAAGGAACATAGATTGGCAGAAATATGCAACGGCGGTGACAATCGGTGCCGAATCAATAGATACGCTTCCACCATTGGAAGAATATCGATTCCTCGCCGATTTAATTTACAAAAGCTCACTGGAAGCACAAAAAAGAAAAGTTCCAAGTGCGCCCTTCAAAAGGAGACCAGCCACACCTGGATGGGACGAAGAATGCACAAAATTGTATTTAGAAAAATCTGATGCTTTCAAAGCTTTTCGTAGACACAAAACCTCCACATTCCACTTTTCGAGGAATATTCAAAGCTTGAAACAAAGCTGAAACAAATAATCAAAGCAAAAAAACGCGGTTATTGGCGCAATTTCGTCGAGGGACTCTCACGAGAAACCTCAATGAACACCTTGTGGAGGGTGGCTCGCAACATGCGTAACCGGTCATCTTCTAATGAGAGTGAAGAATACTCCAACCGATGGATATTCGATTTCGCTAAAAAGGTCTGTCCGGACTCAGTTCCAGCACAAAATATTCTTCGAGAAGCGTCTCCTAGCGGCGGCTCTCTGGATAGACCATTCTCAATGCTGGATTTCTCTATGGCTCTTCTTTCATCGAACAACTCCTCACCGGGAAGCGATATGATTAAATTCAATCTTCTGAAAAATCTCCCAGATATCGCTAAAAGACGCTTGCTAGATTTATTCAATTCCTTACTAGAAAATAACATTATACCGCCTGAATGGAGACAGGTCAAAGTAATAGCCATTCGAAAACCTGGCAAACCAGCGTCTGACCATAACTCATACCGCCCGATTGCGATGCTCTCGTGCATTAGGAAATTGTTGGAGAAAATGATCCTTCGGAGACTCGATCAGTGGGTCGAAACAAATAACTTGCTATCAAATACACAGTTTGGGTTCCGCAAGAGCAAAGGAACAAACGATTGTCTAGCGCTGCTTTCCACAGATATTCAACTGACCTTTGCACACAAGGAGCAATTGGCTTCAGTATTCTTGGACATTAAGGGGGCTTTTGATTCAGTTTCCATTGAAATTCTGTCGGACAATCTGCACAGATGTGGACTTTCTGGAATTTTAAATAATTTCTTGTACAATTTGTTGTCAGAAAAGCAAATGAGTTTTCCCTTGGACAACTGACAACTTCCAGAATTAGCTATATGGGCCTGCCCCAAGGCTCATGTCTCAGCCCTCTTCTTTATAACTTTTATGTCAAAGATATCGACAACTGTTTGGCAGAACAATGCACGCTTAGACAACTTGCAGATGACAGTGTGGTTTCCGTAAGAGGTCCACATGCCGTGGACTTGCAAGGACCATTGCAAAGTTCCTTAGATAACTTGTCGTCTTGGGCTAGGAACCTAGGGATCGATTTCTCGCCGCAGAAAACTGAACTGGTAGTGTTTACTCGAAAGCGGTACCCAGCCCAAATGCATCTTAATCTTTTGGGCAGAAACATTACTCAATCATTGTCTTTAAAGTACCTTGGGGTCTGGTTTGATTCAAAGTGCACTTGGAATACCCATATTACGTATTTGAAGTAAAAATGTCAGCAGAGGATCAACTTTCTCCGTTCAATTTGCGGCACATGGTGGGGTTCTCATCCCGGAGACCTCATAACGCTTTATAAAACAACTATTCTCTCTGTTCTAGAGTACGGCTCTTTCTGCTCTTTCTCTCGGCAAGAAAATGTCACCTAATAAAATTGGAACGAATTCAATATCGTTGTCTGCGTATTGCTCTCGGCTGTATGCACTCAACGCATAACATGAGTCTAGAGGTTCTGGCAGGAGTAACACCCCTCCAGAACCGTTTCTGGGAGCTTTCTCTTAGAATACTAATCAAATGCGGAGTGACGAACACACTTATATTCCTTCTTGGGCTGAACACACAATCTCGATTTATGAGAATCTACCACCACTACATATCATCAGATATGTGTCTTCCTTGTTACACTCCATACCGTGCTCACTTCACCAATCGCAGTTCCTCAATTGAATATGATCTGACCATGAAACAAGCAACTCATGGGATTCTCGATCAACTTCGACCTATTATTATCCCGCGTATTTTTACTGAAAAGTACCAACACGTCAATTGCGTGAAAAGATATTTTACAGACGGGTCACGTCTCAATGGATCCACTGGCTTCTGTGTCTTCAATGAAAACTCTAGCGCCTTCCGCAAACTCCAGGAACCTTGTTCCGTTTTTGTTGCTGAGCTGGCAGCAATCAACTTCGCATTGGGGATGATTTCCGACATGCCCACAGACCATTACTTCATCTTCTCGGATAATCTCAGTTCGATTGAGGCTATTCGGTCGATGAAACAAGGTAGGCACTCATCTTATTTCCTTTCAAAGGTAAGGGAGCAGATGAGTGTGCTGGTCGAAAGATCATATATGATTACCTTTGTATGGGTCCCCTCACATTGCTCAATCCCAGGCAATGAGAAGGCGGACTCTCTCGCAAAGGTGGGCGCGCAGGAAGGCGAATTTTATGACAGGCAAATTTCACACGATGAATTTTACCATTTAGTGCGTCAGAGTACCCTTTCGAGTTGGCAAACCGATTGGGACAATGGAAATCTTGCACGGTGGTTACATTCAATTATTCGTAATGTTTCTTCAAGAGCGTGGTTTAAAGGCTTGGACTTAAGTCGTGACTTCATTCGCGTGATGAGTAGACTTATGTCCAACCACTACTCGCTAGATGCTCATCTCAATAGAATAAACCTCGTGGACAGCAACATCTGTCGGTGTGGAAACGGTTACGATGACATCGATCATGCAGTTTGGCAATGTACGGATAATTACGCCGCCAGAGAGCGACTTTTGAATACCCTTGAGGCCCAAGGAAGACAACCCTATGTTCCTATTAGAGACGTGTTGGGAACTCGCGATATCTGCTATATGCAGTCGGTTTATGTATTTCTTCAAATGTCTAGTATAAGAATTTAATTCCTTTGTCGTTTGGCTCTCTTTATTAGTTTTTGTTTGTCTTGTCTCCCCGTCTCGATGAGTCTCATCGTCGCCCACTGGTCACCATAGCCGGTCGAACTCCAGACGAAACTAGAACCGCACTACCATTCATACTGCCGACAACGCTCTGACGAGACAACGAAACCTTACCCCCAAGCTCCTCCCCTCATCCTATCCTTCGACAATGTACCTCTTTAACCTCGAGTAAGCCGCGAGTATTCGGCCCAACTCCTACTAGACATAGAATTAAGTGAATTTTGTTACAAAAAAAGAACAATGAACTATCGGCTCCGTAAAGCTAACGCGATTGAGCCTTCCAAATAAACATACTAGTTAAAAAAAAAGTGTACCCCCATATAGAAATCACAGACGTAGTCCTACGCAGAGCTGGTAAATATCACTGTCGTCATGTGACAATGAGAAAACAGGTCCTCTCACTATCACGAGACGAAACTACCTATCATGAGCTTTCTCGTCAATTTCCAATGATCAAGCACTCACGAGATTCTAACTGATTTAGATGAATTTAAGCAAGCAACCGAATGTAATCGGTTTAGTATTTTTTTTAAGATTTCCTCGGTACAAGTAACTTTAATAGCAATAAATAAGATAGTAATCACGATGATCACAACACCGTCAAAAAATCGATGAGATTTTGAAGAAAATCTCTGTCATCGTTTTCTCATCTGATGATAGTGACAGAACGGCGCTTTTTTGCTGGATTGAAACTTCGCTCTAAATAACGTTTATAAAAACTCTGACTCTGCTACCAATAAAAGTTATTCACGAATAGAATAGAGGCTTCAAAGCGATAATGCAATTACCAGGAAGATTTCGCACATCGATGCCAATCGAACGTAAATTACAATGCATAGGTTTCATAACTGCTCTGGTGCGATGTTCATTAGCAAAGTGATAGGAATCTACTCCGAATTTCACTCTGTCCCGTTTGTTAGAAATTAGATCGAAGCATGAGAGGCCAAGCGGGAGGTTGACAATAAATTCACCAATGAAGATCGCGGTAGGGATGCTCTTTTTTGGTATGTGACTTCCGACAACTTGAACATAAATTTCCGTAAATTTGTCATGCATGGAACTTCTTGTTCACGGCATTCGCTACATATTGGATTAATTTTCGAGCACCCCTAGGTCCAAAACGCTCAACTGACCATAAGCACGAATGCAACAGCTTATTATTCGTGCGGTCAATCAGTCGGTCAGTATAGCATAGAACGTTGATTGAAACAGTGTACCGTGGAGTGGAGGTTGTTATTCTTTTCCGAGAGTTTAGAGTACATCGAGGGCCAGTATTTGTACAGCCAATAAGCTGGCAGCCTGTTCGACCACACCCATTATTATCAATTTTCGTTTGACTACAAATTCGTAAAACCGGAACCGACGGGTTGTTTCGGGTGGTTTTTGCTGTTGAAGCAATTAAAACGTTTATATAACCTACTCCGGTCGAGTATAATCCGCATCCAGGGAGAACATACACATCACACGTAAGTACAACACAAGCGTGGAACTTTATTATTTAGCATTCCTGTTTTCATTGTTACCACTTAGCATAATGAGCGTATACATAGATTGAGGGCTGCAGTAACACAATGAAATTTGCTTGACTATGGAGATTTTTGCACATTCGTTCGCATAGGCCGTAGCCAGAGAGAGTCAGGAGGGGGTAACTGCTCCCTCCTAAACTCAGCAACACAAAGGCTTTCGATGAAATGGCATTCGGCCAAATTTTCCATAGTATTTTATTTGCCCCTCCCTAGCTCGAAACCGGGTTACGCCCTTGTTCGTTTGTCATTTGCATTGCATGAGTAGATATGTTTTAGGAATTATATTGGCATTTTGCTATATCAACTAAAGTATCAACTCTGAAGAGGTTTCCGAATCCGTTTTCTCAAATAAATGGGCAGTATATCAACAGTCAACTCTCCTCATCTCTTTATTGGAGTGGTCGAAGGCTTTTTCAATTTTAAGAAGACAAGTGTAGATTTCTGCTAAACAAAAGCAGATTTTGACTACATATATTAAGCTTCTTTTTTGAAATGTAGGTTATTAAAAATAGGGGAAATGGATGTAATGTCGGCCCAAATGATTCTAATTTGGACCCGTACATTAATTCAGTAATCGACTAAATTTTCAATAGCGACCAATAATATCCATTAGTACCGTCCCAATGACGCGTTCATCTAGACAAAATTGATAAATAGCAGATTTTTAGCGATGGGCCCAATCTTAGATCCATAGGCCAACATTAGAGCCATTTCCCCTATAACCAATCTGTTTTTTTAGAAGAATACTTGATAACCTTCCTAGTATCAGTACGTCGCTTAGTTCGAGATCAAGAGCACATTACTCTCCAAACCCTGTGTTCTCAATCCCTTCCCTGGCATCCAATTGTTACAATTTGTTACCTCTAACCTCGAGATAGCCGTGAATAATCGGCCCCCGCTTTACTTACGTTAGTTTTAAGTAAGTTTGTGATCCAAACACTGAATATCGGCTCCGCAAAGCTACAGCAAATGATCCTGGAAAAATAAATGCATTATAAAAAAAACTCCCTAGTGCATTAGGGTCTTTTATAACCCAACGTCATTTTAGAAAGCTGTAAATTTGTAACGAAATATGATAGAGAGCTGAAAAGAAGCTTTCAGCGACCTCTAGGAGTGGCAGTACAAAAAAAAAAGACACATTTATGCATTAGGGGTCAAAAAAGACTCAGATTGCAACTCGCTCCCAAAAATCCATTTCTTAAACGACTATTAATCCACTGGCCTCAAATAAAAGATTAACGTTCCTAGAATGGAGCCTAAATGGAGAAGTTTAGATTACGTGATACAGGTTCCAATAGGCTGCAAAAGGACACTTCCAAAACCTCATGACCAGATCCATCTGTTGTCTATTTACTTTTGGATGAAAAATCATAGATTTTGAGCTGTCGGACGATACGAGTACATGAAATTTAGGAAAGGTCCTGTTTTGGGGCCCTACCGGAACCGATTCTGGGCATCCGGATGTAACCAGATCCACCTGTTGGTCAATGGCGTGATGTCTATTTACTTCTGGATGAAAAATCATAAATTTTGAACCGGTGTCAGGTAGCCTAAATGACCAGATTGGAGAATTCCTGGGAAGGGTGCCCTTCTAGTTCTAGGAACCTTCATCTTTCCTTTGAGGGTAATAGATCAAGAACCGATTCAAACGTAAATTTTTGGGAGCGAATTGCAGTTTGGGTCTTTTTGCACAATGTGAAACTTTTTCCTAATGCATTAGGAACGTTAACCTGGAAGTCTTGAAAAAAAAAACCAATGGACTTCATCGAAATCTTCGATCAGCGGGAGATCTTGACCAACTGACCAACCTGTTATCTTGGGAGAATAGCTGATGTAGTTTTCTTTTTTGCGCTGTAGTAGGGGACGACGGGGTAAAATGGCCATCCTAAGCTTGAAGTAAAATTTAACTAAAACTGTTTAAAATTTCCGCGATCAATTTAGGGATTATTGATCTTTAGAGTAGTCTTCCATAAATACCTTGATTTTCAGATATTTTTCTATTCATTTGATGATGTTTTATCACGAATCAAAAACAAACTAAATAATGCGGGATAAGGTTCGCCACCCCTAGGGGTAAGATGGCCATATGAAACGTTACTGTCTTCGGTAAAATTGCACAGTAGGTCAAGGCGGATAAAGAACAGTACTACTGTTACAGTAGTATATAATTTTCTCACTATGCAGCGCATATGCGCAAGTAAATTTCCTGTATAAAATATATCTTTAGATCTTTACTATTTAGAATGTTTCCGTCTTCGGGAAAGTTGTTCAGGTGATCTACGTGATGTCCTAACTGCGTAGATAGTGAGGATTTCAAGATATAGGTTATAGATATAGAAATTTTCAGGGCTGATAGCGATCATTGCTGTCAAAAATAGTGATTTTAGTGACCATGTTGAAGAAATAAGTGACTAAATAGTGACTTAAAAGTGAAAATAGTGACTAAAAAGTGACCTAAGAGAATAAAACTAGTCGTTATGATGGCACACCAAATAAATGTTTGATGTTTTAGACTTATTTAATTAGAATCTCAAAAACATTTATGAACGATATAAACCTTTAAAGTGATAGATTCAATAGAAAGTTTATGGCTAAACACACAGTATTATTCAGGGTGTCTACTAACTGCAAAAACCTGGAAAACCGGGAATCCTCAGAAAATTTATTTCCTTTAAATATCTGGAAGTCTCAAAAATTTAATAATTTGCTTATTAAGGATATTTTAAAGAAAAGAATGGATTTTAATAAACAAGCATTTAATTTTTCTCAATCCTTTAAATTTGTTAAACCTCTTAACGGAATCCCTTTATGAAGAGCTTTGAGTGGGTTGGTTTATTTCCTTTAAATTCCGTTGTAATTGCTTATCTTTTGACAGATACGCGTATTTCGTCTACTACTTGCAGACTTCATCAGTGCCAAGTACTCAACACCAATTTTTCTCGTTATTTTCATTCACACTTTGAACTTTATAGATCCACAGTGGATTAATCTTCAGTAACAAATAAATTTCATAAAAAAACAGAGCCTTAAATGTTTTTCTTTTCTTGTTTTGGAATATGCATATTTCCTAGAAATTTTAAATTGGAATTATTTCTGAACTAACACTTCAAAAAAATTTCAAGATTCTGAAGTCAAATTCCATGCAGAGTTCTAAAGACTCGGGAAATTTTATTATAATTTCTAAGGACCTCATTCCTCGGCACGTGGAACTGTCGATCTCTCAATTTCATCGGGAGCACCCGAATACTCGCCAATCTACTGAAGGACCACGGATTCGGCATCGTAGCGCTGCAGGAGGTGTGTTGGACAGGATCCATGGTGCGAACATTCAGAGTTAATCATACCATCTACCAGAGTTGCGGCAACACACGCGAGCAGGGCACAGCTTTCATCATGATGGGCGAAAAGCAGAAGCGCGTGATCGGTTGGTGGCCGATCGACAAAAGAATGTGCAGGTTGAAGATCAAGGGCCGATTCTTCAACTTTAGCATAATCAACGTGCACAGCCCTCACTCCGGAAGCACTGATGATGACAAGGACGCATTTTACGCGCAGCTCGACCGCGAGTACGATCGCTGCCCAAGCCACGACGTCAAGATCATCATAGGAGACTTAAACGCTCAGGTAGGCCAGGAGGAGGAATTCAGACCGACGATTGGAAAGTTCAGCGCCCACCAGCTGACGAACGGGAACGGCCTACGACTCATCGATTTCGCCGCCTCCAAGAACATGGCCATACGTAGCACCTTCTTCCAACACAGCCTCCCCTATCGTTACACCTGGAGATCACCACAGCAGACGGAATCGCAAATTGACCACATTCTGATTGATGGACGGCACTTCTCCGACATTATCGACGTCAGGACCTATCGTGGCGCTAACATCGACTCTTACCACTACCTGGTGATGGTCAAACTGCGCCCAAAACTTTCCGTCATCAACAATGTACGGTACCGACGCCCGCCACGGTACAACCTAGAGCGACTGAAGCAACCGGATGTCGCCTTACCATACGCGCAGAATCTCGAGGCAGCGTTGCCAGAGGAGGGCGAGCTTGATGTGCCCCCTCTAGAGGACTGCTGCGATTTTGGAGGAGAAGAACGCAGCGCGGGCGGCAATGCTGCAGCATGGAACAAGACAGAACGTGGAACGGTATAAACAGAAGCGGAAACAGCAGACCCGCATTTTTCGGGAGAAAAAAGGCCGCCAGGAAGAAGCGGAGTGTGAGGAAATGAAACTGCTGTGCCGTTCCCAAGAAACACGGAAGTTCTACCAGAAGCTCAACGCATCCCGCAACGGCTTCGTGCCGCGAGCCGAAATGTGCAAGAATAAGGACGGGAGCCTCTTGACGGACGGACGTGAGGTGATTGAAAGGTGGAAGCAGCACTTCGATGCGCACCTGAATGGCGAGGAGAACGTAGGCACGGGAGACCAGCACAATGGAGGAAACGACTACGTCAGTGCAGCAGAGGACAGAACTGACCCAACTCCCACGCTGAGGGAAGTTAAGGACTCCATTCAGCAGCTCAAAAACAACAAAGCAGCTGGTAAGGATGGTATCGCAGCCGAACTCATGAAGATGGGCCCAGAAAAGTTGGCCACCTGCCTGCACCGGATGATAGTCAGGATCTGGGAAACAGAACAGCTACCGGAGAAGTGGAAGGAGGGGGTAATCTGCCCCATTCACAAGAAAGGCGACCATTTGGAATGTGAGAACTTCAGAGTGATCACCATTTTGAATGCCGCTTACAAAGTGCTATCCCAGATCATCTTCCGTCGTCTATCACCTAAAATGACCGAGTTCGTGGGAAGTTATCAAGCCGGCTTCATTGACGGCCGATCGACAACGGACCAGATCTTCACCGTACGGCAAATCCTCCATAAATGCCGTGAATACCAGGTCCCAACGCATCATTTGTTCATCGACTTTAAGGCGGCAT